AATCGTCCTAATAATCGTTTATTTCTGCAATAGGTTTCGTATCGCGTTTATCGTTCCCGCGTCTGCTCCCGTCTCTGTTGTACTTATATAAGTACACATGGAAACGCGCCGGATCGAGTCGGTTCTGTTCGGCTCGGTTCGTGCGATTTCGTGGTGTTCCGTGATGTTTCGTCGCGCAACTCGATTTCTACATGTGACCGTTTCGGTAAACAAGAAAAATATCTGAGACAACAGTTACGATAATAAAAGTTGGAACGGTGGTGGTACTGTTGCACGCTAATCGGATCAATCTTCCTTATTCGAGCAACTTGTCGTGACTGCGCAATTTGCACTATACGTTGCACCGCGTAACAATCATCAACCGGCTATGAATAGGATTTTGGTTGCCGTCGGGTGGCTGTTCGTGTTTCCGCAGCTCTCGCAACAGGTAACGACAAGTTCAAACTAACGAGTTTCATCGAAAAGGAAAGGTGCGTCGGAACATGCATACGTTCGATCACTGTTACAGCTAGTAGAGGAGAACGCGGACGATCACTATGTCGCGGCAGTGGTGGAATTCTCGCCTCGTCTAACGAAGAATAACGGCTGGGTAACTGTCAAGGAAAACGCGGAAACGTACGTCGAATATATAGAGAAAGCGAAACAACAGGTGAGACTCGAATTCAAATAAAATCCTTTCTATTCGTTGTTCGGGTTTCGTGGATTTCGTAGGAAGCCGACATCATAGTATTCCCGGAGGATGGTTTAACGTCGGTTTACCTGCCGGACAAATCGGAAATGGATTCCTGGGCGACAGTTGTACCCTCCCCCGTTGAAGAACACGTTCCGTGCACGCAGAATCGAACAGGTGTTAGCGAAGTAAGTTGCGAGGACAGCTCGCGTTACGAGTTTATCGAACTCTTTTCCATAAACTTTTCGATCGATCAATCGTCAAATATAATTATTCGTTCGACACGATTCGTTATCGACATATACGCAGGCGTTCAAACTGTTATCGTGCGCCGCACGCAATCACGGCATCTATGTGGTGGTAAACATCGCCGAAAAAGAATGCTGCGATCCCAACTCCGACACGGAGAAGCCGTCTGCAAACGCAACGCGTTATCACAACACCAACGTGGCGTTCGACCGAACTGGGAAAGTAATCGCTAGGTAATTGCTCTTACGAATACACGTTTCGTCAACTGTGTCCATCTACGACTATCCGCTTCAACTGCCGTATAGGTATCGTAAAGTGAACCTCTACATGGAAGAACAATTCGATACGGTCGAACCGCCGGAAATCGTTACCTTCGACACTGATTTCGGTGTGAAATTTGGCACATTTATCTGTTTCGACATACTATTCTCGGTTCCGGCTCTTAACTTGACCAGGATCGAAAATGTCACAAACATCGTTTACAGTACCGCCTGGTTCTCCGAATCACCGTTCCTCACGGGTAATTCATCCTACAAGTCTGTCCCCCATTAGCGACCACAGGCGATCCCAGTTTTCCACTGATCTTTTCTTCTAGCTGCTCAAACGCAATACGGCTGGTCTTACGCCGAGAACGTGAACCTATTGGCAGCTGGATATAACAGACCGGAAGTTGGAAACACGGGAAGCGGTATTTATTTGGGTACGTGGGCGTATATTTTATTTATGCGTGAGAGCGTCATCGATGGAAACTCGACTGAGCCGGGATATGGCACAGGCGCACCAGTTGGCTTTCGCTGTGTTTTCTTTACGGTATTGATTAATTACCATCCAATTCTATCGACGAGTAACATATTCGTCGCGAGAATGCGTGCGAGAGGAGTGGATCTTCGTCGGGTGGGTTGTTTCCATCGACGCGCCGCACGGTACCCCGCCCCGTAGCTATTCGCATGTTTACTTACGCGATACTTCCGTTTCACGCGTGCTCCGTCCATCTCTCTGATTTTCCAGGCCGTAACGGGATAGCTGACGCGATCATGTCCCATCAGTCTGGTAACCGACTGTTAGTCTCTCGGGTACCAAAGACGACAGGCTCGAGAAAGACACGGCTGGAACAGACAGAACGAAATTCCGCTGGATGGTCCGACGCTTTGGACAATTGCTACGAAACGAAAAGCAACGGAGAAGCGGTTCAAGGAATTTTCGTGATACGCGACAACATTCGCCCGTTCGTATCCGTTTCCTTGAACGAATCGTCCTCGATCGACGAGACAATTTGTCATCGAGGTTTCTGTTGCAACGTTCGAGCGAACGTTACGAAGCTTGACCCCGACGCACCGTTAAACAACTATCGTGCCGTAGTTTACAACGGATGTCGGCTTTACGGAGCCGAGGTAGAAGCCGATATACGAGCGTGCGCGTTGACGCTATGTTCCAACGATTCGATCGCTTCCTGTGGCGTTGTCGCTCGATCGAACGTTGCTTTCACCGGCATAACGATAACCGCGACGGTCCACGATTTTTCGAGTACTCGCATGCTGGCGATGCCGAGTGTACTCAACTCCTCGTTACTTCCCTTCGAGCATTGGACCTACGATGCGTACACCTCCGACGCTGGAACAAATTTCACGCTCACTTTAACCGAACCTGCCAACGATCTGGCTACTTTTGGCATATACATCAGGGATTTCCGTGACAATCAACCGAACAACGTCACCGAAATTCACGTCCCTTCTGTCATTCTTTTCTCGATCTTGGCGTCTTCCGTCTACCTGCTGGCGAATCGACTCTGACTTTTCTACCAAGCTTCAGCCGAGTCGTGGACACGACGAACGCTAACCAATACATTCACGTACGATCGTTTATCTACCGCAATCTGGAAAGAAACATAACGAAAAATGAAAGACAGTCAACGAAGAGTGCGCGCGTAAGAGTCGCGACGTACGATATTTCGATAGCGACGCAACGATTCGCTGGACCAAGCTTGTCTAAATTGTATCTTGCACTTTTACCTCTTCCCATCGACCACTTGCGGTTAGACAGAACTGCTTACATACCTACTTACACAGTCTCGGCAGCTACTGAAGCAGAGCTAGTGGGGGGACACTGTTTCCGAGTTACCAGCGTCAGGGGAGTGAATTAGCTAGGCATATATACAATAGTTGTCGTACAGAAGTGCACGTCTACGCATACGGCCCATCTTCATCTTTTTACAATCACCTGTTTCCAATGTTTCCAATGTTTCCGAAACAGTCGAATTCTAACCACAATACGAATCGGAGCACGTTCAACCTACGTTCATAGAGACAAATCGTATTGACAAACCAACGGTAAAATGACTCGTCTCGCGATACCGTCTACCAAACTACCTTTCGCGTTGAGTTTTCTTTATTCGAGAATTCGTGCCGCTCACACAGATATACCGAGGATTAGTTTTCAAGAGTACCGCAGAAAAACTGTTCAAGACCCAAACGTGTCGTCCGCGCGAACTATCGATGAACGAAGAACGACGAGTTCTGTATCCTCCTTCGGTATGTCTCTGACCGAATCGTACTATGAAAACAAACAATTGTACCGAAACAAGACGACGAAGGGAAAATAAAGAACCGTCAATTTCATTTGGTTGACAGTTGCCAGTGTCGCTGCTCTTTATGGAATAAAGTCTCACGTGTTGCACTACGTCTCGTTTATGTCTCCATCGCGAGATATTCTAGCCGATGCACAGATAGAAATTAATTTGCAAAATACAAAGGTGGGGGCAGTATCGATTGTCAAGTGGCGAGAAAAACCTATTTTCGTATATCACCGGTAAGATTTACGATAAACAAACTCTCCTGGGTTTTCTTCGACTCACCGTTAGCGCGGTCGTTATTTACCACGGAACACGTTACAGGCCGCAGTCTATCATAGACCAAGAGAAACTCGTGAATCTCTCGATATTAAGAGATCCAGCACGCGACGACGAAAGGACTAAAAGACCAGAGTGGCTGGTCGTGATTGGGATTTGCACGCACCTTGGTTGCATTCCGATTCCCAATGCTGGTATTATACCTGGTGGATTTTATTGTCCGTGCCACGGATCGCACTTCGATGGAGCTGGTCGCGTACGTCAGGGGCCAGCACCTACCAATTTGGAAATACCCCCATACAAATTTCTTCAAAACGATTCCATTCTTGTTGGTTGACGACACCGATACCGCGCGCGCGCGCTGCAATCTCGTCCCTATTATTACTTTTACTCTCCTTTTCTCCGTTTCCTCTTCTTTTATCGCTTAACCCAAGGCTATGTCTAAATCGGCGTCTGCGGACACACACTCTAGTGACCTTCCCCTTGCTTCTCCATACATCTCTACTTTCACCTGTGTATTTGTATGGAACGACGCACACGCATAGAACTGTACAAGTAGCGGGGGAATGCTGTTTCCGAGCTACTAGCGCCAGGGGAATAAATTTCTCTTACCTAACCTATGGGCACACGCATCGCAACGCTATCGCAACTTTCGACGAAGAAGTAACAATCGCGCGTTGCTGTATTCATTCGGAAAACGCACAAGCTTTCACTGTCAGCACCATCTATAATACTTAGCCGACGATACGTAACCCATTTATCAGCACAGGCCACAAACCGAAGATACGAAATATATGTTATCTGTACGTATCCACTATACAGGTCGATTTCCTCTAAAAATATTTGTTTAATGTGTGGTTCGTCATGATAACTCGTAATTCTATGTAACTATTAACACAATTACGTGTGTTTATTTATTGTACGATTCAGAAAACTTCAATTCAGACGTTCCGATGTAATTGAAATATATTTTTCGTCGCACCTTCTACGAATTCTCTATAGTTTTGAGCAGTTTCATTACAACAAATGGACAGATGCGAACGTGGAGTGGGGCGATGAGCGGGAACGAACAAAGGAGGGAAAGAGGAAGGCAACTTTTTAACCACTGGTGTAACTCTTTGTCATATGAGTTGTGTCTGCGGTAACTGATCGCTTGTGTGTTCGTATTTCTTCTGTTTACCGAACCACACGCATACCACAAACAAATTACGTTATGACGCCACCGATGGAAAGGATACAAATTCTGGAAACAATTGAAAAGGACATTATTGTTTGTCTGCAAAGCGCGGGTAAGCGACACTTCTTTGATTAATCGTCAGCGATAACAGATTTTTCAAGATAATGCTATCGACTTTAATCGTTACGTAGGTCAAGCTTTTGTAGAACTTAGCAAAGAAAAATCTAGTTTGAAGCAAGCCGAAGCACAAACTCAACAATTTTTGAAAACATTGGGCCATGTAGAATCAAAATTGAGCGAACAAATCAATTATTTAACTCAAGTTTCGACAGGTAAGAATAATTTACAGATCAATCGAAACAATTTCTGTCGATTCTTCGAATCTTCATTCGTTTCATTTCATTTCTTGCTAGGACAACCACACGAAGGCTCCGGGTATGCGAGTCAAAAGGTTTTACAAATGGCATGGCATAGGTTAGAACACGCGCGAAGCAGAGTGAACGAATTGGAACGTATAAAACACAAACCAAGATAAATAACTAAAATTCTTTCGCTTTCCAACAATGTCCTCCCAGCTCTGACTTTAAATGTAATCCTCGAATCAAAGTGTAAGATGCGTACGGTACGTTTGGTAAATAATATCACAGAATAAGAAACTTACTGAATTTACTTAAATTAAAGGAGAAGACAAAAACAAAGATAGACTCGTTTAAAACATTTATTTACACGTTGATCGATCCTGTGGTAGGAAATTTCTCATCTAAGGAACATTCCCATTACGGCGGATAAATTAAACGACAGTAAAGAATATAAATGTATATCCAACGGTTTGTTTGTTTTTTCAAGAAATGTAACTTGGTTTGGAGAAAATGTCAGGGCATTGCTCCATCTACAACACCCATGCTACGTTTTACTGTAGCGGCTAAAGTAAGTCTAGATCTTCTTTCTTCGTCTAGTTGTTTGGTCAATAAAGACATTTGCGACTGCAAATCTGTCATTTGACATTTTAATGTCTTAACTGTTTCCGATAATGTCCTAAAGACAAAAGAAACGTATGTTGCTGACAGAATTACACGGGAGAGAGTTATCATTGAAAATGATTTACCTGTTGCTACAAAAATCCCAGTCTCCTCTATTGTGCATTAAAGATATCCTGTCACGTGTTTTCTGCGAGCCGTAATCTAATACTGCTGAAACATAAATGCAATAATATAAAATACGACGTTATTATTGTCGATTTAAGATGAGCCCATTTTAAGGAACAATCAACCGATGACGTACGAGTCGATTCTCCAGAGTGCACAGTGAACCGAGCGTTCACAGTAAGGCAGTATGCTTCGATGACCTTTAGTATAATCGCATCTTCTTCAAATTGTCGTTCATCTAGAAACGAAAATATTGATTAGTATATCTATCACCGACCAACAGTATTCCCTCTTTGCGGTAGAGATCGGTCGATATTAAGAATGTGCTTTTAAAAGCAAAAACAATCAACACAGAGAACAATTCTCGTTTCTCTTGTCCCTGCTGTTCTATCTTTGTTGAATGAATGAATTCGTTATCGATATAAGGCGACCAATAAAGTGAAACACACACAGGGAGGAAATACTGCAGAGTATCCGAAAATTCGACTTGAATTTGAAACTCATACTGCACGGTCGTGGTGCGCGTGATAAATCCAATCCCGGATCAGTTTTACCAAATGCCCTGAAAGCGTAGAGTGGAGGAGCTGGACGTAACGAAGCAATACACCAAGCTGTTCTAATCCCTAAAGGCGGGCACTGTTCCGCAATTGATCGTTGTTGTTGCAGTTGTTTCCCGTTCTGTTGACTGCAAACCTGACAAATAAAAAGCAACGATTTTCATACGAGCGAAACATTTCATAAGAATAACGAGCCGTTGCGGTTTGTCGAAATGAAGTTGTTGAAATGAAGTTAAAGTGAAGTTAAAGTGATATTAAAAGCCTCGCCGCGTCAATGTTTTACGCATTTGTGAAATCGAGAAAAAATCACAAACAAATTAACCGACATCGCATGTTCGATCAAGACCGAATCGTATAATGTAACGTATTAGAAAAGCGAAAGCTTGCTTCACACAACATGGCTGTGGTGAAACGGAAGCATACGCTCGTTATACATGTGGAATACAGTATGTAGAATTAGTAAGAAAAACGAGTGAAAATGTTAACTGAACGAAACAGAAAACAGCCATGCCATGGAAGCTTGCCTTGATCCGTGGATCCAGAAAACGGTATAGATTTCTTCAACCACCAGTGAGCGTACAGCCCCGACGTATAGACTCGACTTGGTTCTTCGCAATCGTGTTGCGCGTTCGGTTGGACGACTGGCTTTCTTCCTACTTTTCGTGTAACGGTTCGGTGCGCGTAAGGTATCGGTTGCGTGAATCTTTTAGACGTCATCGGATGCTCGAATTTATCCAGACGCGCGTCAGCCGTACTTGCATTTCCTCCCACTTGCGTCTCGCTGGTATCGTACACGGGCCGGCTAGACAGTTTCGAAATCGAACAACTCGAGGTGGTATCGTCGGCGTTTCTCGATAAATCTGACAGATGCGCACTGTCCCTAGGAGTAGAATCAAACGGTGATGTGCAAATGCACTGATGTTCAAATTTATTTTCGTCGTTTTCACTCTCGTCGAACGAATTTCTTCCGGCTACTCTGACATCGCACTTATTACTGCCGATACAAGTGTACGATTTACAAGAATTGACCTCGGACGAATTTAGACGATAACACTCGACCATTCCTGAGTCCGACGAATGAATACTGGATGCACCGCGTATCTCGCGTTCCGTGTCGAATTTTCGGCGTGCGGACGTCGGCCACTGATATCCACGATTCCTGTCGCACGTCTGAATAACCGACCGATTTCTGGGAATGCCACCGATCGATTGCTCTCGAGCGAGTGCAGCATTCTTCGAACAGTTTGTCGTGAACGTACCATCTGCGAGCCGTCCGTTCGCCTTGCCGGGTCGCTTTCGATATAGATCGCGAGCATTCGATAAAGACAGGGGGAGAATATCTGTGAAACGCGACTCGCAACCAGCAACGTTGCTCGCGTTATCGACAAGAGTGAGAGTGTCGGGTTGGGTTGCGGTACAAGTGAACACGGTAACGGGTAAACTTATGCTGGATTCGCGTGTGCTGTCGCATTCCGGCGCAAGTTCCGTTAAAGATGAACTGTTCGTTATACCCACAGTACTAAGATCGACATCGCCCAACGCATATTTCACCTCGAGAGTTAAGGTCGATTTGCGCAACGTTACTCTTTCAGGGTATCCTTGATTTTCCGCCGTCTCCTTCGCTTCGAAACAACTGCTCGTATCGGAATCGTCCGACCGACATCGGTCGCTCACTTCCATAGGATACAGCGTGTAGGTCGTTACGTTAGGCTTTCGCATCTTCACGTTAGTTAAATCCGGTTTCAGGACATATTGGACGTACAACAGTTTTTTCAGTAGCTCGGCACGTATAACTTTTCTCTTTACCAGCATCGCGAAATATCTAGAAAGGCAAGTGTACGGAGGTAGACTACAACTCACACGTGACGTTGTCGACGATTTTACGAGGCTGCTACTCGCTTGTTCTTGAATCAAAAGTTCGATCCAACGTTGCCGGTCTTCTTTCGAGGTACAGAGCACGAGAATACTTTCGATCATCGGTCCTAAAGGTTTACGACAAACGATTAAACGACTACAGGAGACTTACTTAATCGCGTTGCACCTTACCTGTAATTTCAAAGGCATTTCTAATTTCATCGTTATCTTCTGTCGGAATAATATTGATACCAGTCAACGGAAGCTTCCCCTGAAACAGGAAATTATGTACGTTCATTGAATCTGTTGAAATCACCAGCAAGAAATAGCAAGAAATAGCAAGAAATAGCAAGAAATAACAAGAAATAACGTACCTCGTAAACGAACGAACTCATTCTGGGGCTGGCACTGAGCACCAATAAAGTCGTAGGGAAAAGGACAAAGTATCTGTCTCGACGATCCAAACCTGTCGTTCCACTCGCTAAAGTTACAGATCCAACGTGGAGTATCTCCCCGAGGGAACTCAATTCTTCTCCCTCCCATCCCTTGATACCGCTAGTTAACACTTGGAGGGCCAGTTCGCGTTGCTTTCGTATCGATGCACACTCGTCCTGTGCGATACGATCGACGGGTAATCAAACAGGTCTTGTGCAAAACAGTATAAAAGTTGTTTGAAAAATATCTATTCCATCGAATACGGGACCGCTTACCGCTATTTCTCTGTACACGGATATACTTCGCTGAGTATCTCCTCTGTCGGGATGATTCTTTTCCATGTATCTTTCCAACTCTTGCAGCATCGCAGAATATTTGTCTAATCTTCGAAAAGGTTTACTTAGACCAGTCGTCAAGACTAAAATGCCGGGTGATATTGCTCCGCTATGTTCCATAAATTCATTTAATTCGTCTCTAAAATAGAAAAGCATCGTTGCGAAACAATCACGCGTTACATCGTGAAACACGATACCGAGACGTATAACGAAACGACTGATTTAATCATACCTGTAACGATCTAAAATACACACAGCCCGTGGGTGATTTGCGCAATAAGTAGCATGAATGGATTTCAATTTCGGCGCTAGAGTTAAGAAAACATTGCCGACTCTGGAAGAACAACCTTGGGCTATGGCCGCGTTCAAATTAATAAGCAACCTTTGATGCGCCTCCAAAATTTCATGTATATTACCTGTGAGTTGCTTGTACTCCTCTTTAGTCAATCTACGTTAGAAATTCTTCCGAGTATAAACTGGATGCGAGTTTGTGAGAATATTATACGTCGAGTATACTTACATATTAGCCGATTCTAGGAGAAGTAAGAAATTGTTTATTAGACCTTGAAGCTCTGCTATATTCACTCCTTCGGAGTCGATTATATCTTGTAACACAATGTCACGATTTAATTTTTGATGCGCCGGCGAATCCTGCATTGTTTTCTCTGGAGACATTTTTAAACCGACCGATGGTCCACTGTCTTGGGAGCATAAAATCACAAGTACAAGCTACACGAATCGACGGATGAATAAAATATCTTATCGAATAGCTAGATCGATACCAGAAACTCTGCACTCTTTCACATAATTCGACGGAAACCAGCCTGTTTTGTCGTTTAGCGTACCTTCCCACCAACCTTCGTCGTCCATTTGCATTATCATTATCGTGTCACCCTTCTTAAAGCAAAGCTACAAGAAGGAATATAAAAATGATTATCTTTGAGATGGAAACGCGATAAATGACAACAGGTTTCAGACTTACTTCGTCGTTATTTTTTCCTTTAAAGGAATACAGCGCGGTCACATACTTTGGCGTGTCAGGTTTTGACATGATCGCTGGCTAGAAATGATCAAACCGAAAACTGCCCAAAGAAGTTTGTTACTTTCTTCTGGTTTCTTTGTTGTTGTTTCTCTTTCTCTCTTTCTTTCTGTACGATTCAGCTAAACTTGAAAACGCGATGTACGTTAACGACCTTTAACGAAGTATTCAGCATCCACCGCATTGCGTGTACTCTTAATCTATTTCAGTATCCTATACTGCTATACCGTCGTATCACAGCATGTAGTGGGTTTGAAAATTGTAGCTTTTAATTGTACGTTTAATTTGCCTCTGTGCCTGCTTAATCGAACTCGATTGCGTACGACGAGCGCAACCGTGGTCGGTAGATTTAATTGGAAAATCCGAAAGTAGTCGAGAACGATGTCGAATACAGCAGTTGTACAGGGAACGCAAGTACAGGTTACTTCGATATACGGATGCCTATAATGTGTGACATCTCATTGGAAAAAGCTATTTATATTCTATAAATATAGGTTACTCATAGGTATCGGTATTGGTATTGGGGCACGGGTACAGGTGTAGATACGGGTATAGATATAGGTATACACAAGTGCTTGGGTGTACTCACTCGCGAAATACGTCCGAGCAATCGTCTGACAGCGAATATACGTATGCACGCAGAGATATCCAAGTACTCACTGTATATTTCGTTTCTTCCTAGATTACAAAGGAAATTCTGCGATAGGAAGTCGCGCGATTTCTTTTCTATCGCTGATCGAGGATCAACATCAACATAGCGGTCACATTTTACAGTGGTTTTTACGTAAATACGATCGCAGCGAGCACAACTATAAATAACCATGTAAAACGGTCTGTTCGGATCGGTGCTGGTCGCGAGACACTATATGGACAGGTAGGGAACTGCTAATGTCGGTACATGCTTGAAACAACAAGCAACATTCCCGGACGTAAATAGGAACGGATTTATTTTGCACAGCCGGTTTTTAGCGGCATTGCATTTGTTAGGAAAAGATCACTGGTATATACTTACCGGTGAAACAAACGAACGGTAGAGCTAGCCCAATGTCTCGACAAACGAAAAAGAAATAAAGCTAAAGGACGAAACTGCAGATTGATCAGATTTTCCTTGAGATATATTGAATTTGGACATACGTACAGATATAGAAATACAAATAGAAACGAATCAAGTGTCCGTAATATGTAGTTATCGTAATGGTGTGTTGGTCGGTGTCCTGGTCATTTTTATCGCGATCGATGCCTTCTTGTACGTCGCGACGGATACATCGAGATCGAATCGCGAACGAATATGGAATTATATTCTCTTTCTATCTCGATCTGACGTTTAAACGAAACTCACTTTCTAGATGGTAACGATCAATATACAGACAACGATGTACGACGACACGCTAACAAGAACAGACAATAAAATTAGCGCAGTATTACAAGGATATAATACATAACGGCGCGCAGG